CAGAACTTGCATGTGTCGTGTCTGCAAAGCTGATGTCACCTGGATGATGCTAAAGCCTGCTGCCTGGTTGAGCAGCTGCTAGTCCCCGTCAATCAGGGCCTGGTCTATGAATGATTGAGTGCTGACTTCAGGAATAAACTGACTCAGGTGTCCCCGTGTGCACAAGGCTCCCAAGCAGACACTCTTCTCAAGGGAATGTCTTTCAGTTGACTTCCTGGTTTCACGCTCTGCAACCCATGATGAAGCATGGAGTTTGCCCTCAAGGCATCTTTTCCTATTTTCCCAGTGCAGTATTCTTGGCATCTCTTTAAAGGACTAATCTCTGGTGGTTCCATCTTCCTTGCTTATCACTTTCAACCCATTCCTTTTCCAGCTAGCCTCCACGATTTTTCAAACTTTTCCACAGTGCTTTTCTTCTGACTGTAAACCTGGCCAAAAGCCACCACCAACTACCAGGTCACAGTTCAGGTATCATCTGGTATTAAAATTTCCCCAACCAAATCCCTTAGTCTATTTCTTTAGAGTTCACCTTCCTGCAAAGTTTCAGTGCACTGAAAATAACAGACAAGTTGTTTGTTTCTTTACCAGAAGGAATACAAATGGCCTCATTCCCACCTGAAACCCCATGAGTGTGGTTTCACTCTCCATGTTCTTGAACACATTATAGAGAAGCATATAGCAAATCAATTAAGGCTAAGATATGGGCAAACCTAATGAGTTACAAAAGGAGGTCTTCCTACAACTCTTGCAACATTTTGGCAGGATTGAAATTATATCCAAATTTAAAATGTAAAGGGTAGGGGGTCCATTTTTATATATAATGGACAAGAAAGGCACTGAAACACATACTAGAGGGATGGTAAAACTTATATCAAAAATTACACTCCATGTCTAGGATAATGGGATTATATATTGTTGTACTGTATGCTTCTTTGTGCATGTAAATGTTATTTTGAATAACCTGAGATTAAGATGCCAACATGATACCCCTATATCACTATTTCTATGTATTTATCCTACAAACAAGGATATTTTCCTACATAATCAATGTAAGACTGCTTTGGAGTACAATCCTCTTAATTACCTCCTATTTTGATAATAAATAATTAGTCTTTTATTATACAAGCTTGGGTTGAGGTAGTAACAGAAATGTCCAAGAAGACAGCAACTATGAGAAAGGAAATGATGAAAAAAATCCAATTATAAAGTCACAGAATAATATTATCCAAACACATAAAACACACTGCATCCCTGGATGCAGAAAAGTTTAGGTTTCCTTACAACATCTCTGTGTGTTATGATACGCAGCCATCATCTCAATGTAAGGGCACAAAAGAAAGATGGACAACTACAACTTAGGAAGAATGGATGTCACATTTGGTTGTTCATTTAATCCCATGAATGCATTTGTAGGAATCCATCTGTGGGAGTCAGCTTCCATATGTAAAATCTTTGAGTATAACGCTCCCACACTGAATGGGATGCCTTGTGTAACCATTAGGGAACTGAGAGCACTGTGGAGCAAGACTTCCATGGTTGTACAATAAGACATGCAAGTTTCCATCTTGCTTCCTGTTTAGATACTCTCTGAGGAAGTACATGTGTTATGAAAACTGCCATTTTGACTTCGGACTCCATGGGACAGTCCCATAGGTTAGAGACTGAGGTCTTCTATCCTGGAGAATAGGGCAATTTTGTCACAGATCCTCTAGATGAACCCAGCACTGGTTTGAACACCTCGATTGCAACCTCAGAAGGCTTTAGTAAGAATTTTCCAGCTCTGACAATCCTAAATCCCCAACCCGAAAGAAATGATGAGATGTTTCATTCACAAGACAAAGGGGCAATGTTGGGAACAGACAAAGCCATTTTGACTTTGGCTCCATTTTACCTATGAGGTGGAACAATGTTCAAGTTCACAGACACTAGGGGAGCTGGAGACTTTCCAGAACCAGTTCCTGTTTAGGTAACAATAGTTGCCCAAAACATGATTCCTTTTCTTAAACACAATAAGAAAAATATGAATCTGATTGGTTGGACTGGAAAGCTTACATTCTACGTTGGTTGACAATGATGAAATACGTCAGGAAAGCCCCTAATCTTTGGATCCTGATTGGTGAAAAATAGCAACTGACTTGGCACAGGCATCTGTGATTTTTGTGCTTATAAACCCTGCTTCAGCTCCTGCTCAGGGCTACCAGGAGAAGCAAGGCTCCCGAGTCCTTGTCCTACAACACAGATCTATCAGCAACCCTACTTGTATGGTGTATTACATTAAAGACTGCTGTTTCATGAGCCCATAGGTGCTATCTTTCACTTTCCTCATAGTGCACAATGGACATAGTGTAATAGCTGCTGACCCTGTTCCTCAATGGGAGGCATTTGAAAAGCAAATTATATAGAAAAATAATAACTCAAGTCTAATAACTAAAGCTAAAATTTGTTAAATCTATTTTTTTCAGAAATTGTGCTAGGAGAAAATATCCTGTAACCATTAAATATTCATGAAGAATATTTAGCCAAATAAATAAGATGGCCATATTTAAAAAGCATACAAGCTATGCACATGATTTGTAAATATAGTTTACCTAAAATATATTTATAATTACATGTTTATATATTTATAAAACAGAAGTAAATAAATATGTGCATTGTGAAAGAAGAGCAATGGCAACAAATACAACTACTAATGATATTGTCCTTGATCAGCATGGAAGTGATTTGGGATAGTTATATTCTGTAATATTTTGAAACTTCTATACAATATCTATTCTACGTTTATTAGCTTATATTTTTAAGTAGGACATTTACACTTTACCAGAACAACTGAAAGTAGAAACAAAGGGTGGTATGAGACTATGCCCAGTCACGTGATCTGATTTCTGGAAAAGGCATCTGACTTGTCACCTCCTTCACAGATGAGAACTCAAGCAAAAGGCTCAAGTATAGAGGTTCAGAGATTTCCTTGACAGCCATCTCAACTGGCAATGGCAGAGCCTAAGGGGGAAATGCAAGACTCTTGTTTCCTGATTCAAACCATCCCCTATACTATGCTGTCATCAGTGTTTCCATCACAAGGATCACAAGAGGAATGAACTTGAAAAGCATGTCACAATAAAACAATGGCCAAATGCTTCTGCTCAGTTGCTGAAACAGAAGGAAGTCACCCCATAAGCAATTAGGCAGCAGTTTGCACTACTTACATAAGTAGTTAAGAACGGTCATGCACTCCAACAAACAATTGCAAATTGCAGTCTCGGTCATACCCTACATTTGGTAAGGAAAGCTGACTAGATCAGGAAGGTTGTTTTAATATCTTCAGCTTTTCATAATCTCATGGGTACAGATAATTTACTTTGATTCTAATTGTCCTTTCATTATTCTCAATTTCTGCCTCCACCTCAGCTTCTAAGCCATCTTCTCTTCCCAATAAATCCCCCTTATACTTATATCATGTGCATATGTGTGTACGTGAGGATGAGCATGTATGTGCACATATGCATGCACGAGTGTGTGTGTGTGTGTGTGTGTGTGTGTGTGTGTGTGTGATGTGCACATGCATTTAATTCTGCATTTAATTCTGGTTACTTGCATGAGTCTGTGTCAGGGGTTAATTACTTGATCAAGAGCAATTTGACAGTGAGAGGCTACATCACTAAGAAATAGGATACCCCTCCTCAAGCAACCACTAACCACTTAGGGTGTGGCCTTATAAGTTCCTCCCCTCTCCATGATGGAATGCTGGTGAGGCTGGATTTTTACAGGCCTTTTACAGGGAACCACTGCTGCTGTGGGTTCAGGGGTATAAGAGCCAGGACAAGCCTAGAAGACATCACTTCATAGCACACTTTCCCATCCTCCAGCTCTTCCATCCTTTCTCCTCCCACTTCCGATATGGTCCCTGAGTTGTGAGGGGTGTGATATGTGTCCCACTCAACAGTCACATTTTTTTCAGCAGTTTGACAAGTTATGATTCTATAATTACCTACTTCAGAGGGAAACTTGTCTGATCAAGTCTGAGAAGATTTTTGATATGGACTGATTTACATGGGAAAGTGGTTTACTGTTCTATTGACTTCTGCCCACCTAGCCATTCTTACCATGCCAGAACAACAAATGTGTCTCCTTTGCCTACTTCCTTGCATATCCTAACATATGTGGCCTGGTATTTACATCCAGGCACAGTATAGATGGTATGGGTCCTCTAAAGTCTAAATAGAGAACAAAAGATTATATATACATGAAAATTGTCTTAGGGTTTCTATTGCTGGGAAGAGACACCATGACCACAGCAATTCTTATAAAGAAAACATTTAATTGAGGTGGCACCTTACAGTTTCAGGGTTTAGGCTATTATGGCAGGGAGCATGGTGACGTGCAGACAGACAGAGTGCTGGCTTCATCTTCATCAGAAGGCAACAGAAAGTGGATGGAGACATTGGGTGTGGCTTAAGCATATATGAGACCTCAAAGCCTACCTACACAATAACATGCTTTCTCTGACAAGGCCACACTTTCTCTAGCAAAGCCACACCTCATAATAGTTCCACTCCCCATGAGCTTATGGAGGCCAATTACATTCAAACTAACACATGATCTCAATCTCAAGTATGAAATATCTCTATCCTGTACCAGTTTCCTTCCTGTCCATGACAGTTAAGCGCCATCATTTTCACTGCTAAGTTTAACTTGCTTTCCACTCCTTTTCAGGTCTTCCATCAAATTACTGTTGCACATTCAGCTTTTTATCCTGTTTTCTTAGGAGAGAATGTTTTTTACATTTCTTTTCCATTTTATTTTTGTTTTGTGCTGAGAATCAAACCCAGGGCCTTGTACATGCCAGACAAATGCTCTACCACTGAGCTATAGACCCAGTATTTTTCCCTTGTTATTTTTATCTGTAACTCAGCAATAAAACACAGAGTTATATTAGTTTTTCCAAATTCCAAACACACTCACAAGAGCCAAATAAGAAAACATATATGTAATTATAAGATTAAAAGATTACAAGGGTACAAATCATGATATAACACTGAAATATTTTTTATTGTTTCTGTTTTGTCCGTATGGATGCAGAAAATTGAACTTTCCATATGATGTGAATGCCATATTATTTTCTTCCCACATTTTAAATCAGAATTTCCTCCATTCCTAAATCCTTTGACTTTTTTTCCAGCCAGCCTGATTCTACCAAGCCTTTCTTTTGTGAATAGAACCTACATGACTTTAAGTTGGTAATTGGAACAAGAAATCATTCTGAGTGCCTTCTAAACCTGACACTAGGTTTAAAGAGAAAACTTATTTTTACAAAATAACACAGAAACAACAGAATCAGTATGAAGCCCAGATCTGCCTCAGACCCTCTGCTATCAATGCCCTAACCTTCACCAGGGACGAAATCTGATTTACAGTAGAATTGAGAGAAGTGGTTTCTTCCCTCATTGTTTACCCTGCTGAGCTTGTTAGCCTTTGAGGGTTTTGTTTTACTTTGTTTTTGAAATTTTTAAGATGCAGTAAGTAAAGAAGATTTAAGGGAACAATAAAGGTCTTATCTCAGTAAGTAATCAATCTCTTAAGTTAATTTCTTAAATATTTGCAGGCTCCCAATGACTGGTAGATGCTTGAAGCTCTTCTACTCAGTGTTTTTCAGCCATGTTAACTGTCTGGAGTTTTGGTTTTCTTTTGTCATTGTTTTGTCTTTTGGGGGTAGGGAAGGCTTTTGATTTCTATTATTTATGGTCCTTCTTGATGGCTCACTTCTCAAACGTGAATCAGGTACCAGCTTGATATGCAGAGAACATACTCGTAGAGAATTTGTAGTCTGTACTCACTGTCCTCAAAGGACAGACTGTGAACAGGCTTGAGGGAGTTCTCATTCTGTTGTACATTTCCTTTCTAAATACATTCTACCTCTTTTTTTCAATCTCTGATTTGGCAGAGGGATCACAAAAAAATCATGAAAAAGTCAGCAACTCTTTGTAATGTCTTGCTAATGCACTGCTTCTTGTAATGTTTTAACAACTTGGGGGGCATTTCTGCCTGAAGAGGAAGGCTAGCTACTTGTCAAGACAGCAAATGGCTTATTTGGCAGCACTTCTACAACATTCAATGGAAATTCACTAATCCACAGCTGACAACCCACCTATCCCCTTATCAAACTTCCATACACCAAGTATTTGGCCTCCTCTAAGTCATCCAGGGCTACGTGAAAGACAACACACGACACTCACTGTGAAGCTCACTGGCATTATGAGGAGCACTTATGAGCCTAAGCTTTCTGACCTTTCTTAAACTTTCCAGAAAAAAACAAAAGGTGTTATGCCTAGGCTTTCTCCCTCATACCTGTTTCTGCCTTGTGAATAAATTGATGTTCCTCTTGGCATGTGGCCCTCTATGGAATGGCAGGCCCTCTTCCTTCAGGAAATGAACAAATAAATCTCTGGGATTTATGGAAATAATAAAATCTCTGGCAATGGCACTAACCTGTATGTCATCACTTGGTTGCAACTGTATAAATTAATGCCCAGACATAGTTTTCACACAATTGTGATGCCCCCTCTGGAGGTCTGCTCATAGACATTTTAGTGCTAGGTGTATGTAGATCAGTTGAAATTTCAATTTACCATCCTTTCTGCATTAATAATGGAACTTTAAATATAATGAAGATTCAAGGATCCATATGTGCATAAGAAGTGTTCTTGGGGTGTGTTTATTCATTCAAAAGCTGGTCAATTGACAGTGTGTGTCTGCCAGTTTACTGGGACATAAATATGTAGCAACACCTACCACCTATTCAGAAACGCAATTAATGTGGATCACAACGGAGTCAGAGCTAGTTTGAAAAACATTGTTTATTAGGAAGTACTCACTCCATGGAGCCAGTCCTGTACAACCAGTTGGGAGAGGTAACAGAGAGAGCCACATGTGTGTGACCCTCATATTTAAAGCCTTGCTATGCCACTCTAACCACACCCAAGTGTGTGTGGTTAGCATCAGCTGTGCCAGCCCCCAAGCAGGATTGGCCAGTATTTCCCCCTACAACCACCCATAAGTTCAATATTTGAACCAGATGCAACTTATCACATAAAATCAGTGCCTGGGCACAGATTATTACTGTGACCTGGAGTTAGGAAGCTGCCATAGGACTGTCAACACTTTTCTTGCTAGTTAGCTATCGAAAGAACACTGTGCCTAAAGATGCAAGTTAAGCCAAAGCCACAGTTACAGTAACATGGCTCTGAGACTTTAGGGTGAAGGCATTTACCCAAATATCACCTCAAAGAGAAGCAGTCTGAAATCAAGCTACCATTTTGAAGAACTAGAAAGTAGGGAATAAAAGAAAAATTTAAAGTACATGAAGATGAGAGATGGTTAATGAGAGATATGAAGGAGTTGATGGGGAACAGAGCCAGGGGAAAGTTGTCTAAATGGAAACATAGGTGGACAGGGAGCTTTTTTATCTGACTCTTAGCAATCTGGGAAAATTCAAAAGGACAGCTAATGGAATAGACTTTATCCCAACATATCAGGCAAACACAAAAGCAGGTTACCATGTGAGATGTTGACTCTGCCACAATTCCAGTAGTCTTAACAGAGTTAACACTGGTTTTCTCTTCTCAATCAGGTAAGTATAGCAATATGGAATTCTGGAAGTTGAATGATCAAATCACTACCTACCAGAAAGGGAGGAATTCAAAAAGGTCAGAAGGAAGGATGATGAGCACAATGGGACCACTGTTCAATGGGACTTCTCCATTGGAAGAGGAAGGAAGAATCAACATTCTTCAAGTAAATAGACACTACAGGTTTGCTCACCTGGCCTACAGGTCGACCTAAGGTTCATGAGATCATCATCCTGTTCTGGAGACAGAACTCATGCTATCTTGAGACCTAAAGCATGAACCATAACACCACCTCTGGAAGTGTGGAGGGTAGCCTAAGACATCTGGCCTCCTGCTGACAGAATATGTGCAGACTTTAATGCCACATCCTCACAGAACAGGCACTTGATCTCCAGCACAACATTGCTATTGGTTTATGTCAGATAAGAATGAAAACTGACACATGATGCTGTTGTTCTATCTTTCTTCTCCTGCAAGTGAAAGTATGGGTCAACTTGGGTAAGTGCAGCAGGTAGTTAGTATGGGCCAAAGGAACAAAACTTCTTGGTATATGGAGCTAAAGGAAAGTTAGATTAGAAACAGATCTTAAGGAAGTCATCAGAACTAAGGTTTATGGTCTAAAATCTTACCTTGTGTAGACAGACCTGAAGAAATTCCCACATAAGAACTAGAGAGCCAGAGGGAAAGGTCAGCAGGCCCTTGCCTTCCATAATGATGTCACCACATGGAGTCATTTCTTTTTCTAACTTCCTACCTCCCTCAGGCTGACATCCTGGTTTTCACCAGTAAGATTTGTCTTTGCTTCTTCTGTTTCTAAAACCTGGATTTACCTGTAGAAAAGTTAATCACGGTATGTGAATTCTGTTGTGGTTTGAATATAAAATGTCCCCCACATGCTCATGTGTTGAATGTTTTGTCCCAGCTGGCAGTGCTATTTTGGGAGATTATGGAAACATTAGGAGGCGGGGCATACATGGAGGAAGTAAGTCACCACAGGCATGCCCATGAAGGGTCTTTCATTTCCTAGACCCTCTCTCTTTGTCCCTGGTGGCCCTGAGGAGAGCTGCTGTGTTTGTCAATGTGCTCTTGGACATGACTCTATCTCGCCACAGCCTAACGCAATAGAGCCAGAGAAGCAGAGACTGAAACATGCATGGACTAAAAGAAATCCTTCCTTCATCTTAGGTATTTGTGAGTGACATAAAAACTAACACATGTATATACTGTTCACACAAGTCTAGTGAACTTGTCTCATATCCTAGGATACACTGAAGGTGTTCTTTAGATAATCCTTGAAACTGAGGAATTGTACTTAAGAAGTACTATGGGAGGAGTTGCTAGATAGATGGTTCAGTGGTTAAGAGTACTTGTTGCCCTTGTAGAGGATGCAGGTTTGATTCCCAGCACCCTCATGGTGGCACATAACCAGCTGTAACTCCAGATCCAAAGGATGTAATACCTGTGATTGCTTCCATGGGCATTCTACACATGTGTGCACAAATATGCATGCAGCTCAAACACCCGTACAAAGAAAATAATAATTTAAAAAGAAACATTAAAGAACAATTTCGGTGTACTATTCCAATTCATATACCATTCTGTTTCTCCACTAGCAACTACAAGGCACATCCTTTTGGTCAGGAGATGCTATGAAGTACTTACTTACATTCAGAACAAATTTTGTATCTGAGACATAGGGTTGGACTGGTTTCTAATTTAAAATCAGATGGTGAGGAAAAGAAATCTGGATACTATTAAAAATTATACCTGTATCATGCTAAAAGGGATTTTTCAGCAATTGTCAAGCCAACACATCATATTGCCAAATCCATAAAATGCTTCCAGAAACAGATGGGATTTCTATCGCCGACTCTCACACCTCATGGGAGGGATCTTTGTGTCAATTAACCCGTTGGCAGTAGTATCTAATCTGGAGGGGTACGCACAGAAAATCCAAAGATATTTTATCTAGACTTCTAGTGTAAAATTTTTTGTGGCACCTTCTCTGAGGCAGGGCACCATGAAGTCAGAGCAGTTGGCAAAGTTCAAGGATATCTCCTCAAAATGCAGGCTCTCTCTTCACACATTCTCAGAGGTATCTTCGGAACATAGTGACCGTGCAGGTATTTTGTCACAGTTGGATGTACCATTCAGCCTCTCTGAGATTCCCAATCTAAATGTCAAGCCCAGAATTAAGAAAGAAAAAAAAATAGACAACAAAAATGTCAGTATGTATTGAGCTAGTACTGATATTTCCAGTGGCAGACACTGAAGAATTGGTTCCCCTATAAAATGTGTCAATGTGATTTTGATATCTGCAATCAATTTTAGGAAGAACTGTGGTAATAAATTTATAGTTCTTGTGGCAAGCATTGTCTGCCAAAACAACTTAATTTTCTTTAAGGATTATGTGTGTGTCCATATAAGGCACAAGAAACTTTGGTTAGGATAGTCCAAGTGACGCAAAAATAATATAGATTATAGTTGTACCCTAAGTTACTCTTCAGGGGTTGGGGGAGAGTGGGCTGCTATTGCTGAAGATGCTGACACACACTTAGAGCATAGGATGCAGATGGCTCAAGCTGAATCTGACCATAAAGCCTCTTTTCTGCTGTCTAGTTTCCATGATTCCAGAAAATACTATGCAAGCTGACAAGGGAGGGAATCAGCTAAACTGTCCTACCTAGCTGGGAAAACTATGAACCATGAGAAGTACCAGCATGACAAGATATGGATCAAGGTACAATAAGTAGCACTCACATGTCATTGGCAACCAATAGCTCTCTGAGTGAACCTTAGACTTATCCAACAGGAAGGAAATCATGCTGGTACTAGACACTTAGCCAGCTTCCCAAGGGTAGTGAGGTGATTGATTTTAGAAAAGAATCTACTACCACCATTTTGCTAGACCAGCATAACCCCTTACAACATCCTAAATCTTATCCTTACACCCACAGATAAGTATAACTACTAATCCTCATCAAAGCCTCTTTTTGCAACATCACAGAAAAGCCCAGGCTCTACACATACATCGATGTCGCAACTCCTACATGTATTACTCAGGGAGCACGGAGGAAAAGAGAGGTTATGAGAGCCAGACGATCAGGAGGCCTGTTATGAAATAGTATCTCCTAGAAATGGATGCATAAACCAGACCAAGACAATGGCTATATCGATAGATATTTTAATGTGGGAGGTGAAAATCTTGAGGGGGTCCCACCCTAGATAAAGAATTTTTTTTTATTAATTCAAGTTAGGGAACAAGCTTATTTCACATGTAAGTCCCTTCTCCCTCGCCCGCAGGGTAGGGCCCTCAACGGGGGCTCTGCAAAGTCCACCAAATCTTCCTATGCTGGTCCTAAGCCCTTCCCCATGTGTCCAGGGCCAGAGTGTAACCCTTCAC